TGGAATTCCAGGACCTTCGCGCGTGCTGATTCGTCGTCGGGGAACTTGGCCGGGTTACTGATGATCTCCTCTCTGCCGTCCTTGTACACGATCTTCACGGGAACTGACGGAGGAGTGATGATAATACTGGCTCCGTGCTCCTGGCGCAGACGATCCTCGAAAACAGAGCAGTGAAGAGTTCCCAGGAAGCCCAAGCGGAAACCGGCACCCAAAGCCTCCGAGGACTCCTTCTGCACTGTGATACTTCTGTCATTCAACATGAGCTGATTGATACTGTCCTCCAGGTGCTCGAAATGATCTGCATCGACAGGGTAGGCGGCCACGAAAACCATCGACTTAGGTTCTTCGAAACCCGGTAGCGGTTCCACAAGCTTTTCCGATCCCACTTTCGTGTACGTATCACCAATCTTGGCTTCCTTACTCCGCTTCATGCCCGGGTTGAAGTAGATGTAGCCAACTTGGCCAGCACGGAGCACCGTCTGTGGGGTCTCATTCGGGTACATGATGCCGACTTCGCCGACGTAATACTTGAGTCCCGTAGCGAAAGAAACAAGCTGATCTCCCGCTCGGATCTCGCCATCGAACACACGGACCAAGCAGATAACACCCTTGTAGGAATCGTACCAGGAATCGACGAGGAGCATGCGCAGGGGCTTGGTGAAGTCACCGACAGGGCTGTTTAGGTCAGCTCGGATCATCAGCAAGAAAAGGGGCTAGGGATGCATACGCTGGAATCTTATCGACAACCGTAGGAAGCAGCTGCTCTACGTTGAGGCCAGTCTTAGCCGAGACCAGCACTGCGCTCTCCGTGTCCAGTTCAAAAGAATGCTTCATCTGCTCCAGAGCACGCTGGGGCTCGGCCGAGGGCAGATCCACTTTGTTGATGACAGGGATCAACTCCAGACCTTGCGAGAAAGCGAGATAGAAGTTGGCAACGGTTTGCGCCTGAATGCCCTGACTGGCATCAACCAAGAGCAAGGCGCCTCCACAACTGGCGTAACTGCGCGAGACCTCCGCACGGAAGTCCACATGGCCCGGGGTATCAACAAGATGGAGCAGGTAATCCTCCCCCTCATGGTTATAAATCATCGTACATGTCTGCGCCTTGACCGTGATACCACGTTCCCGTTCCACATCGAGCTTGTCCAGCACCTGCTTGTTACTCCCAGGTTGGATCGTACCCGTCAATTCCAGCAACCGGTCGGACAACGTGCTCTTTCCATGGTCGACGTGGGCAACGATGCAAAAATTGCGGTATCGATCGATCGGGATAGCGGCGATTCTGTTCTCGAGATCCGATTTATGGACAGTGGAACCTCTGGCGGAGCGTGATGCGGAGTTGGCGAAAAACCGAACGGAGGAAGAAAGGCCAAATGGCGGCTGGAATAGGCTAGCAGCAGAACCCTTCGGCGCTGCGCTCAGCCACCTGGCTAACTGCAGGCATCCTCGCATTGGGAGGTCTGCACTTGCATGGGAGTGAAGTGTTTGATGGTGGGGGAGGGAGGGAGAGTATAGGATGGTCAGTGGGCGAGATCTCGCGGGCGGGAAAAAAAGGACGGCTTTTGCGGAGACGCTCGATTTGCGCGGGCGGTGGACCGAATTGCCGCGGCGACAAATGGTGTAAACAAAGCATGATGAGTCCGTCACTTTTTCCACTGCATCTGCAGCTCTTGCCCGCAACACACAGCATCCCAAGTCCCTCCTCATATCGCATTATACCGCTATGTCGGCTGCAAAAGCCAAGGTTCACAAGCTGTCCTTGAAAGGTACGATCCAAAGCCTCCTGAGATAGACCGGTGCAGAACGCTCACAGGTCGATAGGATCGGCGAAGTTGGTCGCAGAATTCGTGAGTACCTTACCAAGTGATATGGCTTTCTTGTATCTAATATACATAGTTCGAATACTCCATCAATTCTATCCTGTAAGTGTCTGTTTGATAATGGCCCAGCCTTCATCGTCCATTGACATTTCGACCAGTTTCCAGCGGGGCGTGTATCCTCCGGAGGACTTCACTACGCAAGTGCAATCTACCTGAGCACATTGAGGAGCTCTCTAACTCTTTCTACAGGGTCAAGAAATATGGTCTCAACATGCTCGGTTGGTCTATCTCCATCAGTTTATGCCCTCGATCCCAATATTGATCAAGCCCAGTCACCTCCGACGACCAAGTCAAAGCCTACATCAAGAAGATCATGTCGCAATTGAACAAGTGGATGATGGGAGGGAAGATATCGAAACTCGTGGTTGTAATCACAGACAAGGAGACTGGAGAGCACGTAGAGAGATGGCAGTTTGACGTACGCCTGAGGTCCTCCCTCACTAAGCACACGGAGACTAACCGGAGGCACCAGGTCCAAATCTTCGGCAAGCACTCCAAGAGCCACTCTTCCAAGTCGACTGGCGACAAAGAAAATGCTACTCCAGGGTACAGACTACATTCTTCTCTCGAAACCACACAAGCTAACCAACACCCCCACAACAGCGACAAGGAACCCCAACCCGCCAGCGTGGAGAAGACGGAGAAGGAAATTCAGGAGGAAATCCAGGCGATCTTCCGGCAAATCACCGCCTCCGTGACCTTCCTGCCCGTGCTGAACGGATACTGCACCTTCAATGTTCTGGTGTACGCGGACGCCGACTCCGAGGTCCCCGTCGAATGGGGCGACAGCGACGCGAAAGAGATCAAGAACGCCGAGAAGGTTCAACTCCGGAGCTTCAGCACGAACAACCACCGGGTCGAGACTCTAGTCAGCTATCGCCTGGCGGATTGATTGATTGAGTATCTATGTTTTTCTTTTGTTTCTTCTTTTCAACTGGCGTTGTGGAATGAGAGGAAGGTGGAGCAGCATCTGGGACATTTGACATTTCGGGGACCTTCATAAATCCAGCCCATGTATTCTTTCCAAACTCGCACACAATGAACGACTTTAATGAGCCAAGGCACTCCTTCAGCTACCTACTATCGCTAAACGTACCAAGGCAATTCCTCCAACCCGTCGAACCACTCATTCCCACTCCTCCCTCCCTTCCACCGAACCAACGCCTCGACCACCCCCTCCAACCCATCGACATCCCTCAGAATTCCCTCCTCCATCCCCACCGTCCACCCCCTCGCCGCCCTCTTCCCCCCTAACACCCGCCCAACCCCATACCTATCCCCCCTCCACACCCCAATCCCCCTCTCCTCCTCCCCCGCTACCAACTCCCGTAACGGCGTCACCACCTCCGGCGGATTGATGCCCACGACCTCGACCTCGACTCTCGACTCGGACCCTCCCAGCCCGACAGCCGGAAAGTGCACCTCCGCGAACCGCGCCCGCTTGAACGCATGCGTCACCACCGTCACCCGCGTCGGATACCTGCCAGCCACCGCCCGGAACCGGAGCAGTGAGAACAGGACATTCTGGTAGGAGTCGGTGGCGCGGTTCTCGGCGACGAGCCGAGTCGGGTCGATAGCTGGGGCGAATTGGAAGTAGTTGTTGGCGCGGGCCAGTTTCTAGTTGGGTTATGAGTATGTATATGTGAGTGACAATTGGGGCTTGCTTTGCGTGAGACTGTGTTGGGGGGGGGGGGGGGGGGTTTTGGTTTTTTTTTTTTTTTTTTTTTTTTTTTTTTTTTTTTTTTCTCCGAGAATATCGTTTTTGATAGAATTGTGGGTGAGTGTAGTCCACACTCACGGTTAGGTAGATACTGCGCCTAACACGAAATAGATAGACTGGTACTGTGTGCTATAAGCTAGGCAGGAACTTACAAGATATGATTCCCCTTCCGCTAGAGGCGTGCGGGTCGGTTTCGTAGGGCCCCTGTAAATTGGCACCCCATCGTTCCCGATCAGTTTGCATCCCGTATGTGCCCTCTTCTCTTGGAGACCAACTAGCCCGGATTGAGGGCACTCCCCGGCGATAGAGATAGCGGGAGTGTGGGTAGACATACCCCGAGAACACAAGCAGGCTGTCCGGATCCTGGGCTGCGAGACGGAGGCCCGCCTTGACGTGTGCGGTGAACGTGGGCGTTTCGCCTTTCTGGAAGGGTTCAATTTCCCTTCAACAGTGTCAATATCCGGAGCTGGGTTCTTGGCACGAGTAGTCAAACAGAAGTTTAGAAGTAGGATACAACACTGACCATTCGTCCTCGGAGAGGCCGTGGGTTGGACCACCCTTGTATATGGCGTGACAACAGACGATGATTAGGTGGGTGAGCGGGTAGGTCATTATCGAGACTTGGTGCAGTGGTCGAATTGCGTTTCTAATGCAGGTTTGAGAACTGAGATAGAGGTGGATGAAGGAGAGGTTTGGAGACTACGGGGTACGCAGTTGATACAGCTACATACAGATCAAAAGCACCTGACTGATCGTTCGAATGTTAGTGTATTACCTAAGCCGATAACCTCAGTGGTTACACTACTGAATTGCGCCTTGAGAAATTTGACCGGAGTAGCTATGATGATATTGATTGAGAACATGTAAGAAGGGAGAAGCCCAGGCGCAAGCTCTGACACACCGATTTCGTCCGATCGAAGCTGGCCTCATATTGATAATCTTCCAGCTAAACATCAGTAATATACATATCGATCTGGTGAAAACCATACAACAATATATGGCCATACCCCAGCCGAGCAATGTGAACGATCCGAAGAAAAGGTAGGATGGATAGTGATGAAGAATAAAGAGAAAACGAAGAACTAAACAACGAAAGAAGCTCATCCACAATCAACAAACTCCGTCGAATCCCATGCATGATATGCAATCACAGAGGTAACTATGGTATCATGTCATCAACACACAGATGGTTGCAAGGAAAACCAGCTTGCCAGACATAATGACGCCGAAAATTGACAGCAGCAGAGGCATATGCAAGGGTACAGTGTACATTTTAAAAGAGTAGGTGTTTTTTTTGGTGTCTGCCGAGCAAATACAATGATGTAAGAAAGGGAAAGAAGCGAGAAGAAGGCGTCGGCAGAGGGTATCAGAAGATGAAGAGGGGGAGAACAATATTACGTTTAAATCAACGGATCGTGGCGATATGTGCAATCATCACCTTTGCGGCATTTCCCGCTCTGCCAATACCGGCAAGGTACAGACCCTGCCTTGGGCTATCTGCCAGTTAGCTCGTTGCCTGCATGATGATTGGATTTACCGAGAGATACTTACGTGCTTCTTGCCAAGATCATTATACCTGTTCCGCTTGGGATAGCTGTACCTGTCATCATCGGTCCCATCATATCCACCAGACTCGCGAAGGCGCTTGCGCTCCGGGTCCTCAAAATGCCCAGTGTGTTGAGGCGGGTTGCCTGCGGTGGGCTGGTTCTGGCCATTGATCTGGGAGAAAATGGCAGCGAGATTGGGCGCAATGCTGGGTTGAGACGGTGGAGCTTGCGGGGCAGTAGCCGCCGGCTGCATCTGCTTTTGTGCATTCATGATGGCCAAGATATTTTGGAGATCAATGGCCTGGCCTGTTGCAGGCTGAGGGGCTGCAGGAAACTGGGGCATCTGCAACATGGGAGGCTGAGAGGTTGGCTGTGGCTGCGGCTGCGGCTGCGGCTGACAGAACATGCTGAACGTCCGTTCGAGATCCGAGATGGGCGCGGCTGCCGGCTGAGTCTGGGGGGGAGGGGTTGATTTTGGTTGTTGGGGCGCACTCTGAATAATCTTCAAGAGATTCGAAATATCGAATGGCGCTTGGGCGCTTGCTGCGGGCGCGGCTGCAGGTGGCGGCTGAGGTTTGACCGCTGCGATATATCGGTTTTGACGGGCCTGCGGAGATATTGTGAGCACGCAGTCGGTTCGTGCGACATACAAAAACGGGATACGCACCTTGACATGGTCCGGAACCTCGCCAAAGGAGACCGCGACAGTTGTGGGTTCTTCATTGTCGGGTGGCGGGGGCTCTTTGGGCGTTGACGGCACGTCCGCAGGCGAAGTATAGAACACCATAAGGGTCGTTGCCTCACGATACTCTTGAGCCTTCCTCTCCGCACTTTCCGGAACTTCAATGCCACCACGCTTGATGAAGTTCCGGCCACGTTCCTCGTAAGGCATGTCCTCGAAGTCGATTTCTAAAGGATTGTCAGTGACTTAAAAGGCCGACACTCGAGTATCTTCAGTGAGACTTACCCGACGGCAGAAGGTATTCGAGCAACTGTTCCTCGCGAAAGCCGCCTTCTTCGTCTTCCTCCTCGTCGAGATCACGGTGAAGCTTCAGCACACTACCTTCACCCTTCACATCACCCGCTTCACGCTGCATGTGATCGCCGGGACCAAGCTCCTCGTCAGGGTCATGGGTGAAGAGCCGGACTTCAGTTAGCGACTCGTCAGGCTTCCAGGTGACCCGCAGCCGGCGTCGAGCCTCCTTACGAAGGCGCCTCTTCCGTTCTTCCTCCGTCTCGGGCGACTTGGGTTCGGACGGCTGAGCAGGAGTCGTCTCCTTCGGCTTGTTCAGGTCTGCCATAAGGTCCCCGAACGAGAAAGTTGGCCGCGGAGGTGCAGGCTGGGGTTCTTTCCTTTCCGAGGGGTTGCTGCTTGGGATTCATTAATCACACGGTTGTGTCTGTATCATCTCGTGCAATCATCTTACCTGGTCTTCGCCGCTGCTGCCGCTGCTCGCTCAGCATTCGATGTTCCCGGTCGTTTCGAGGCCGACGAAAGACTTCCAAACAGATTGGTTGGCTTCGGCGCCACAATATTAGTCTTCGGACGAGAGGGCTGCGCTGCCGCTGCCGCTGCCGCTGCCTTGTTCTCCGGGCCTGCCTCTTGTGGCCGCCGCACAGGTGCCACAGCGCTAACGGGCTTCGCAGCATTCTTGGCATGAGACGCTACGACTACTCGCTTCGTCGCCGGCTGTCCATTGCTTTCAGTATCGCGAGGTCTTTTAGATCCAGCGAGTTCTGCCCGAGCGCCGTCGGGGGCAGCCGTAGCAGTGACAGTGCTTGTTTGCTTACTAGGCGAGCCGTCCTTGGCCGCTGGCTTCGCAGTATCCTGTTTCCTTCTGGTAGAGGCCGCAGCATTGTCCATGATCTTCTGCGCCAAGTCTCTGACAGCTGGGCCACCCTTTTTAACAAATCTAGGCAACAGCTTGGCAACATTGGTCTTCTGTAGCACATCTTCGTCCATAGTAACAAAGCGCGAAAGCAACTACGCATGGAGATCAGCGTTCTGTCAAATGAAGGGATAATGGGCGGCACCGCTTACCTTGAGTATATTTAGGGTCAATGTTCCGTTGATGTCAGCAGCCTGGTGTCGGTCCAGCAAGAACGAATACATGGCTGCCACAGCAATGGGATGCTCACCCAACCTGTAAACGTCAGTAATCTATTTTCCTCCGTCAAACTGTAAACAGGCTCAAGCAACGAAGATTATAAGTGACCGTATCTGCAGCCCCCATGACTGGTGGAGCCAAGCCGGTGGCCAGTCCATACTCAACGAGCATTGCGGAAGCACCCAGTCTCTATCGGCAGGGACCAATTTCTTTGTCCTCGGAAAGGGAAACCCTTCCCAGTCATGTTGTCTTGGTTTAGGACCAAGAGACTCGACCAGGTTGGACTCTCCACTCTGAGGAGTGAGCATTATTCACCCTTACTGACAGACACTCCTTTAATAGATGCCAGAACCCACACTAGGTAGACTACATGGGAAAGGCTCATATTTCGTTTCTGACTTCTAAAGTCACGACGGCAACGACCATGCTAGGTGCGGCAGGGGGCAGAAGCGAAAAGGAAGAAGAAAAAGAAGAGGAATAAGAAAAAGGACATACTTCTCGACGATTATTGGATGGCCCATTTCCAAAGTCGCACAAACGACCACATCCATGAGACGGCGCTGTAAGACCACATCCTTCTTCAGCTGGGCTGCTTTATCATTATTGCCGGTATTCTCGGCCGCCTTCATGGCTTGGGAGCTGTCTTTCCATGCATCCCTTACGGTTTTCACAACGTCTTTGAATGCGACCAGCGCACTCTTGACCTTGTCCACATTGGGCCGTCGATTACGTGGAGACCACACGGCCTTTAGAGCATCATACTTCGCAGCAGCTTCGGGCTCACTAGGACGAGACACAGGCAGGGGAGACGGCTCTTCGGGTGCCCGATCCTCGATCTCAAGCTCCGAGTCGGAACTGTCGGTCTCTGATTCGGAAGACTCAGCTGTCCCGTCCACCTTCTTACTACTTCCCTTGACGGTCGTCTTGGTGGATTGAGAGGTTGTCTGTTTCTTCGTTGCCGGTTTCTTGGCCTTTCCGCCCTTTGCAGCCGCCAGTGATTGAGCCAAATTGGGGCCTAGTTCGTTCAGCAGGATCTTCAGCAACCGCGGTGTAACACAACGTACCATTGAGGGGTAACACAAACTCGTATGCAGATTGCGGTTTAGGGGCAATCGGTTGGCTAGGTGCTACGGACTGCCCCATTGCCGGTGGCATCTGCAAGTCTTCCCGATAAAACGTGTAGAGCCTGAATGGTGTCAGAGGGCGCGTACGACTGGAGAAGGCAGGCGAGATAGACCTACTTTGGTTCATCTGTGCGATCATATTCAGATGGGTTGAGGTAGAGAAGGTTATTAGGGTGAAGGGCGGCTTGTTGATTAGCAGCAGCTTGCTGTGCAGAGCTGAGGAACTGCGGGTTAATGGTTTGATTAGATACGGGAGGAGTTGACCGAGTGAACTCGGTGTTGTAATCCATCGGTACTTGCTTGAAACCAGTTAGCACAGCTTGTCAGAGTTCAGAAAAGGAAAATTGACATACTGAATTTCTTTCAGCGTAGCCTGCAGGTAGTGAGTACTGCGGGACATGGTGTGGGTGTGGGTCGGATCGGAAATGTGTCGCTTGAGGCTGTGGCTGCGCCGCGGGAGGCGAATGCATATGAGATTGAGGAAAGACATCAGGCACTGGCAGATTCTGAGGAGGATAGTAGGATCGCGGAAATGTGTAGGATGGGAAGTGGGCGCTGTCCGATGCCGGGAGGGGCTGCGTGTCATATGCAGGATGTGCTGAGGAGAATTGCGGTGCTTGACGATATTGCGAAGTCATCCCGATCGGATGAGCGGTTGCCGGTAAGATGGGTTGTGGATGTAACGCAGCTGCGCGCCATGATTGCGGGGAGGAGGAATACAGACCATGATTCTGATCTTGAGGGGTCGGTAACGGACTCCGCGATGGAGGGTTCTGACCGAAAACCGGATGATCCCAGCTAATTCCTAGCGGCTGATGTGATGATTGTTGTTGTTGTTGCTGCTGTTGCGGTTGTTGTGGCTGCTGTGACTGCTGTGGCTGTGGCTGTGGTTGCGATTGCAATCGGGATTGCGATCGAGACTGCGACTGCGACTGAGGTTGGGGGGGAGGCTGTTGGTGTAATTGCTGTTGTGGAGGATGTGCATGTTGAAGCGAAGGATCGGAGTTTGTATACAGTGGTTCGAAGCTGTTCCAGTACTCAGGCGGCGGTAACGAGCCGGGATCTACTGGCGCGCGGTGCAGCCCGGGCATGATGTTTTGCGGCGGCGACTGCTCCATGCTTCCGGTCTATCTCCACGCTTTGCCTCCTGCTTTATAGCAGTAGCAGCAACAGAAACGACAGCAATTGCCGCCAGTGGTATAAGGTAAGGACGGTGGGGAGGGGGAGTTGTTGGGGGTATGTTATGATAAGGTACTAGTATAGGCCAGTGCAGGATGGATTTGACCCAAAGTGGTTACACATGCATCCACGTGCCGGGAGGTTGCCAAGTTGGGACAAGATCGAATGCCGCTCTTAAAGACTTCAAACTTGAGTGGGGGGCGCAATCACGATAAGTCTATTGGTCCAAGCTCCTTGAGCAACGGCGGCGCAGCAAATCTGGTCCGGAAGCCCGCTGCAACGAATCAAGGATGCTGGCCGAGTTTGTCAGCCTGTGAGTTTGCTGATACGTCGGAATTCAAAGGAATAACAGGGAAAGCGGTAACACCCGGTCAGAGCGAGGCTCAAGGATGAGTGGCAAAAAGAGTAGTTGACTTCTCTTCCGGCCCAGCCTTGTCTTCCTCACTTTAGGTGGAATATCGCGAATGATTGGGATGAAAGGAGAAAAAACGAAAGGGGGGAAGGGAAACCACACCTGGAAACCAATCTCTCTGATCTCTAGATTGTTTGGCTCAAAAATGAGTGTGTGAGAATGAGTGAGCGAGCAAATGGAAATAGAATGTGATGAAGTAGAGTAGATGGCAGAGGTCGATGCCGCAACTGCTGTTGCCGCCCTGTGCCTGGATTGGCCTTGCTTCCTCCTTAGTATGTCACGTCCACGTCCGTCTTCTCTCGCGCGCGCGCTGTCGGCCCAGTGTAGTAGTCAAACGACACCACAGCAGAGCAGCAGTTATGTTTTTTAGAACAGGAAGAGGCTGGGCCCAACTCTGGTTTCGAATACACCGGCCCAAGTACGTACTGTACTTTGTAGTCTCCGTATAGCTTCACTTCTCTTCACTTCTCTTTTCTTTGCCTGCCGTCTGTCTTTTCCAAAGCAAACGCTTATGCTTGTTTGTAGGTAACCTTGTCACTCTTGCTAGTCTTCAAACCTCTTCCCTGACCTTGTCTGCAGAGGCAATTCAGCTGGAGCGGGAGAAGGGAGGGGGGCGAAAACTCCTTCCTGCTCGTACTGCCTCGCCTTTTCTTGTCCTTCTTCAGCTTCCTTAAATCTCGACTTTAGAAAATGATCTGAAGAGATGTTATACAAAGAGCCACTCGGAACGGCAGTTGAGCAGCATAATCATTTGCTTTACGAGGAGGGAAGTGATGGTGATGGAAGGGACTTGGAGGGGAAGGGGGAGGGGGTAGGTGGGAAGGTGGGAAGGCGGAAGGTGGAAGGTGGAAGGGGATTGATTCTTGGGGAGGGAGAAGGAGGGAATTGGAACTTGGAAGGAGGAGAGAGGGGGAGGAGGAAGGAGGATTGGTAGGTTAGGTAGTTAGTGGGTGAGGGTGAGGTGGTAAGACTGAAAAAGCCGGCGGGCGGCAATCGGTTGTTCCAGTTGCGTTGTTGGGCGGGCGCCTCAACCTAAGTCTCTACGCCCGTTCAGCGATAGCTCCTATCACGTGAGATGTTAAACAGACCTTTTGTCTGGTTTGTCTGGTTTGTCTGGTTTGAGCGGGACAGCTCAGGATGAGCTCAGGACGTGCCAGGTGGAGAGCGTCTCCGGTACGGAGTACACTTAAGTTACTCATTAGTACGGAGTACTGCGAGACGGTCTCATCGACCGACCCGACCGACCCAACTACTTCCCCGATCTGGATCTACACTGCGCAACTTACCCGTGACACCTTACGCTGTCCTTTTCGTCTTTGCAATTGACATCTTCTTATACCCCACTACCTCCTTCTAATCTTGCTCTCGGTCTTCACAGCCACTGTGGTACTCTCATCGCCTAACTCCAACTGGTCATGATATTGAGTCAATTCAGGTGATCGTGAAACCGTCCGGGGTGTTGCAGCAAGTCCGCATGATGGCATCGCATTCCACCTCCCTCCGTGACCGTCAGGTCGGTAGGTTTCAGCCTCCCTTCTCGATCATCGCTGCGATCGCACAAGTCTAAATCTCACTCAGCTTCCATTCAAAAATTACTAAACTTGAATCACGATACACATCCCACCGACGAAACCCACCCCGACGGCTCTGCCCAGGGCCTGTTCTCAACTCCCGTCTTGAACGAGGACGGGGATCCGATTTGGAAAGTCTTGGTATTTGATAACCTGGGACGAGATGTGATTAGCAGCGTCCTGCGTGTCAATGATCTTAGGACATGGGGGGTCACAATCCATCTGTACGGGGTCCCCTGCGTGTGGACTTAATACTTGGCCAGACCTTCAACTGACATAGACCACAAGCAACATCAACGCCAATCGCTATCCGATACCCGATGTACCTGTCATCTATCTCGTCGAGCCTACCGCTGCCAACATCCAGGCGATCACCAATGACCTCTCCCGCGGTCTCTATTCCCCCGCCTACATAAACTTCCTCTCCTCCGTACCTCGACCCCTGCTGGAAGACTTTGCCTCTCAGATCGCAACTACAGGCACCGCAGAACATGTCGCACAGGTCTTTGACCAGTACCTGAACTTCATTGTTGCGGAGCCAGACCTCTTTAGCCTGGGATTAGGCAACGATGCCTACTGGAAGATCAACAGTGCACAAACAAGCGACGATGACTTGGATGTTATCGTCGATCGGATTGTCAGCGGGCTGTTCAGCGTCAGCGTTACGATGGGTAGGACTTGGGTTCCGTCCGTAATCGTTTGTTGGCTAACATGCAAATAGGTTCGATTCCCATCATTAGGTGTCCCAAGGGCGGGGCGGCGGAGCTGATAGCTACTAAACTCGATCGCAAGCTCCGCGATCATATCCTCAACTCGAAAGACAATCTCTTCTCCAGCAAGAAGGCCACGCCCGGCGTGCCTTCATCGCGACCGGTCCTGGTCATTGTCGATCGCAACGTGGACTTAGTTCCCATGTTGTCTCACTCTTGGACCTACCAGTCCCTTGTTCAAGATGTTTTGCAGATGCGTCTCAACCGGATCACAGTAGAAACAACGGATGATACAAATCCAGCAAAGGGTGTAACGAAGCGGGCGTACGACCTGAATAGCAATGACTTCTTCTGGAAACGCAATGCCGGTGCACCCTTCCCCCAGGTTGCCGAGGACATCGATGCGGAATTGACACGATACAAAGAGGATGCCAATGAGATAACCAAAAAGACCGGGGCTTCTTCTATTGAAGACCTGCAGAACGATACCAGCGCCTCAGCGCAGCACCTCAAGGCAGCCATAACGCTACTACCTGAACTGCGGGAACGGAAAGCCATTCTCGACATGCACATGAACATTGCCACCGCCCTCCTCAAGGGTATCAAAGACCGCCAGCTGGATAACTTCTTTGAACTCGAAGAGAATATCACTAAACAGTCCAAGACGCAGATCATGGACCTCATCAACGACTCCACAAAGGGCAACAACCCGACCGACAAGCTCCGCTTATTCATCATCTGGTTCCTGAGCACGGAGACCGAAGTCTCCCGGGCCGAGATGAGCCAGTTCGAAGAAGCCCTGACGCGCGTGGGTGTGCTGGACGTCAGCCCATTGTCGTACGTCCGCCAAGTTCGCGAGATCACGCGCATGACGATGATGACGACGGCGACGGCGGGCGCCGCGCCGCAACAGCAACAATCGTCGAATCTCTTCCGCGGCTTCTCTTCACTCTCCAACCAACTGACCGACCGCATCACCTCCGGCGCCCTCGGCGCCAACTTCGACTCCCTCATCTCCGGGGTCAAGAACTTTCTCCCGGCTAACAAGGACCTCACCCTGACCAAGATCACCGAGTCGATCATGGACCCGGCCTCGGCGTCCAGCTCCGCCATCGCCAAGACGGAGAATTATCTGTACTTTGACCCTCGCAGCGCCAACGCTCGCGGCGCCATGCCCCCGGCCTCCGCGTCCCGGAATGCCCAGGGCCAGGGTGCTTTCGGCGGCGGTGCTGGCCCCGGCACCACAGCGACCTTCGGGCAGCGGCGCCAGGGCTTCAACGAGGCCATCGTCTTCACCGTCGGCGGCGGTAGCATGGACGAGTACGGGAACCTGCAGGACTGGGTCCGTCGGGCAAATGGTCAACAGGATGGTGGTGGTAGTGCCGGTGGTGTCCGGGGCGCTGGGCCGGGTGCGTTCACTGGGCCTCGCCGGAGAGTGGTCTACGGTAGTACGGATCTGATGAATGCCAATGAGTTCCTAACGGAGTCTCTGGCGAAACTGGGGCGGGAAGGTTGAGCGGTGACCGAGGCGGAATTGCTTAGCTCTACTAGCTTCCACCTTTTCCACGCACGTAGTATTGGTAGTATTGTTGTACCTTGAGTCTAATTCGACACGCTTGATGTGACGAAAAGAGTTCAGAAGAATTCGGCGCCGTGAGCTGCTACTCAGTAGGTAATTCTATACCTTTACTCCTGGACTTTATACTTGGATCATGTGAATGGACCGTGCATCGATTGCTCTCTGCCTTTAAATGGAATAGATTGAAGATGAAATTAGCACAAAGTTAGTCTGCGTGTGTGCACAAAGCGGAACAAGAATCGAAAATGAAACCCCCTCTCAAGGTAGTGAACAGCCCGGTGCGATAAATTAGCACCGAGTTCTAGTTACCCACAAATGAGGTTAGAAAGCACGGCGACCCCCTTCTCTAGTTGCGCATCCACAATGACGTTTGTGTCAAGTTGCAGAAACGAAAGTCAAATGTAAGAGTAAGAAGGCGAACAATAAGGACCACACTGCGTCAGCCGTCGCCCCTTGAGATCCAAGTACGTACGAAGCCCCTTCTATCCCCAGCCCCTACTAACAACAGCCCCTCCCTCTTCCCGGTATTCTTGAGCCCGGCTTCACGATTATGATCAATCCATCCCCGACTACTCCGGGCCCAGAAGCAAGAAACCTGAGCGGGCTTTCACAGCACGTCCTTCTCCCGCTTGACGCTCCG